AGCCAAGTTATAAAATATGTAGATAGGAAGGGAAAAAAACAAATCGTTTAAATAAGGATACAGGTGGACCCATTGCAACAATAAGACGTACAAGTCATTATGTTGAAAATGAACTTTACAACTTTGGTGGTGGGGGAGGAGGGTTGGGTGGGGGGATTGGGGGAGGATGGGATGGGAAGGGGAAACAAAGGAGGAGGCTACAATGCTCAATAAGAAATGTACACATTATCTTGCCCATGTAATTGTAACCCCTCTGTACAGTATTTTCACAATAAAAAAAATGTAGATGTTTTGGGCTGAGGATGGAGATCAATGGTTGTGTACCAGCCTCTAGCATGTACTATGTCTGGGTTTCATCTTCAGCATTTAAAAAAAAAAAAAGTAAAAGTTTGTTATTATTGTTAGTGCTAGTACATTAAAGTTTCAGGCAAGAGGTAAAGGGTGTAGCCCAGTGTTTCAATAAGGCATTTAAATGCAAATTAAAGTCATTTTACAAAAAGGAATTAAAATGACTGTCCCCTTTGTAAAAATTTGGGAAGTTGTGGGGAGTGGCTGGCATTCCAGACAAAAGTTTAAAAGATAAAATTGTCCTAAAGGTTTATTTCCAGGTAAAAAAGATAAATTAGGATTATTCCAGTTTGCCCTTAATTTTTTTTTTTTGTAACGGTTTCCAGGAGGCCCACAATAAAAGACAGGACAAGTCTGTCAAATGTAACTTAATAAGTTCCACGTAAGACCACGTTTATAAAACTACTTCCAATGACCATCTTTGTTGCTCTTAATTGGAGTAAAAGTGGCCATTTGTAAAAACTAATTGTAAAAACTCAAAGCCAGCTTGGGCAGACAAAAGTCCCTATGAAATTGTCATCTCTAATCTGCCATCAGAGTGCTCAAAAGCCCAGTTGCTTGGGAGCTCAAAGTGACCAATTGCTAACCCTGAGCTGGAGAGCTGAGGGACAGCACTCCAACCCTGAGTTCAAGTCCAGTGACTGACCAAGGAAAATGCCAAATGCATTTATCCCAACATAAAAAAGGCACCCCGGGGACCCAACAATGTTAAAACATCCAGAGGCAATTACAAGCAATCGCTTGGATGACAAAAATGGTATCAGACCCTGAGTGACTTGAGCTTGGCCCTTCAAAAAATTGATCGAAGCAGGTCATGGAAAGATAGTTTGTAAACATGCCTAACACCCATGTTGGTCTAACTGGGCAAAACTTGCCAGTCATCTGTGATAGCAGTAAAAGCTAAGGTTGCAAAATGTAAATCCCAACCTCCCTGTATCTGCTCAAAGTCCTAATTGGCAATAACTTTTGAGCTGGTTAAATTCATCTGTTAAAAGCTTGTAGAGCTGAGATTATGTCCCTGTTGACATTAGTCATTGTTGGGGGCACTAGAAATCAGGTTCGTCTGCCAGTCCCCTATCCCCCCCTCCCCTGCAAGTGCTTTTACAAACCAGGATGCTAAACGAGCTATGCTGCTGTAGCCCAAGAAAAGGTCTGTACATTTGTTAAAGGTTAAATGTTGTATATAAGCCACTTTAAACAGGCTGTCCAGAGGCAGTGGGCAGTACTTAGAGTGCCAATCAGTCACAGGTTTAAAGCATCTACTGGGTTTTCTTAAAAAAAAAAAAAACAACAACAACAAAACTCTGACAAGTAATTATTAGTCAATTGTTTACAAGTTATAGGTAACCTCTATCTCATTGATCTTCTTGTTGCTTTAATTGGAAATAAAAGGGCTTTTGTAACAAAAACTTTTGCCACAGTTCAAAGCCATCCCAGGCCCAAAAAATCCATCTAAACCTCCATCTCCCAGCTAATCAGCACAGAGCCAGGCTGGAGGCATGGCTCCAGACTCACCTCTAAGTATCCAGCCGAAGGTTGAAAGTGGCATTGTGACTCAGTGGTAGAGCACTAGCCTGGAGCAGAAGTGCCCAGGGACAGTGCACAGGCCTTGAGTCCAAACTGTAAATGCCAAAAGACACCTGCCAGGACAAAGTCAGTCCTGACGATGGAAAATCATGGAGAGGAGTAAGAGGAGATGACATTCTAAATGGAATCACTTTATGCTGGCCCTTTCAAAATTAATCAGGGCCGGGAGATCAAGAGAAATAGTTGCTTGTCCTCCTAATGCCCATACCTGTCTATCTTCTAACTGTACAGAAAATTAAGTCCTGCCTTTGTTACCTGCTATTTGTGTTTACAGTAGCTTCTGACTGGTACTCCTAACCAGTCCATATGCTCCCTCTACCCAGTTACCCAAAAGACCCTAGACAGCCCCTTTCTGCCTTCTTGCCCCAAGTCTAGTTATTTCACCTTCCCTGTAACGGGCTACAACTGGGATTTTTACTCCAAATGAAACATTTCTGGCCCACGGCCAATGTGTGTTCTCCTATGTCATTCATGTTAACTGACCTTGTCACCTTGTTAGCTTTTTGCTTGATGTTTTGTCAGCTTTTTGCTTGATCTTTGCAAAGTCTCTTTCAACAGGATAACATACCCTTCCCAGGATACCACTTGGAAACAAGTGGCCATCCTGTTCCTTCAGGCAACCAGAGACATCACTTACACTGCTCTGCCTTGCCCAGCACAGACACCAGCTCCAGGGATTCCTTGATGTCCCCAGTCCAGCAGGAAGTAGCCAAACCCAAGACACCATTGGCTCTGGTACCTTTAAATATTTCGGCTACCCCCTCCTCAGGTTACTGTGATCCTAAAGCAGAAAAGTCTTAACCCTCTCCTCCAGGATGCCTGGAGTCAGGTACCATGCTATGTCTCTAATCCGAGACAAAAAAAGGCAATTTCAGGTCTTTGATAGCCCCTTCTGGAAATCAATCCCTCCATGACATATTCCTCTCTTGGGGTACTAACAACAATTTTTGCCTTTTATTAATGTGTCTTACATTTTAGATAACTATTGCCATGGAAAAAGGAGGACCTTTACCAACCAAACTGCCAAACAGATGCTTCATGGACGGTACCCGGCTGAGCAACAATGCAGAGACCCATGACTACTTCGCCCCTTGACAGCAGGAAGTAGCTCCAGAAGAAACGACCTCTGCCTGTACCCCCTTGGCCTGTACCCCCCTATTCTTATTAAACAACAGAGCGGGGAATGTTAGTATTATGCTCACCTTTGGTCCTCAGCTCCACCCACACCTGGGCCCCATTCTATTCCTGGAGTTCCCTCCATACAGCTGACCCTTCCCTCTGTCTGTCTAGACCCACCTGAACTCCCATCTACCTCACTTCCTATGGCTTAGACCTTCCTGCTACCTGGATGGGGATGGAGGCCATGTGCTCCCTCTTGGGGGAAATGTGACTCCTCTAATAAACCTTATAATAGTCTTTTCTCCTGTGCCTGTCTACCTCTTCATGGTCTCCTGGGATGGATGTGTGGGATCCTCCTCTTTCAATTATTCAGTGAAAGAACATACAGCTTGCTATGAAGAGACTTCATAGCATGAGTTAAAAAGTATATATACATGTACACACACACGTGTGTGTGTTTGATCCTTCATAATAACTTATTATTACACTGGACTCATCCATAGTATGGAAATGATTAAAAGTGCTGCTCTGAACTATTTTGGGAATGTATTTTACATATCCCTTGTAAAAGTTATATTTACCCTAGGTGCAAGTATTATGGTATTAACAGGTGATAAACCAAGTCAAGTTTGCTTACACTGGTTGGGGATTTTCAAGCCTGTCCTCTGTCCTCTTTTACTTTGAATAAAAGTTTAGTTCCTATGTAGAATGAAAATAAGAATGTCTACTCCTCATTCTATACTGATCTAGAAATTTCCTTGATTCTGCTACAGTGCAACTTAATTTAGTGACATGATTAAAGTAAGATGTCAAAATGTAAAAAACAAAAAAAAAAAGAATCAGTTCCTGGAAGGCACTGAAGCCCTTGAAGGAGAGAGGGCAGTTAGAACTCTTTAGGGTACATTATTTAGGCAGCAATTTGAGCATGTTAGGTGTATTTCTGCCATTCCACAACAGTACAAGTGAGAAAAAAGTTACAATAAGAAGTTATTTTACAACATTGACCAAAACTTATTTTTCTATGTGCTAGTTCCAGGAAACTCAAGTTCCTCTATAAATGTATATTTTGGGCAACACTGGAGTTTGAATCTCTGACTTTGTGCTTGCTCAGCCACTACCCCCCAGATCTTTTCAGTTATTTGGATTTTTGTTGTTGTTGTTGTTGTTTTCTGATACAGTTTTGCACCTTTTTCTTTTCTTTTTTTAAAGTTCCAGGAGTTATTTTATTATTAAACTTTTAATACTATTGAGCCTTGGAAGACAATTTGTTCAAAATTTAAAAACTTAGCTATTGGAATCTGATACAATACTCAATTTATCTTTTAGTTATAATATAAAAAAGAGATTTGAGAAATCTGGCCTATTGAGTTATCTACTGACCATCAAATGATAATAAATTGTTTTTGCTTTTTTTTTGTACCTTTGCTTGGGCTAGCATTGAGCCAAGATAATGGGTGTGTCACCTTGTTCTTTGAAATAGACATCATTTTTTTTTTCCAGGTTGGCCTTGAATGGAGATCCTTCTTATCTCTGCCTTACAAATAACTGGGATTTCAGGTGTGAGTGATCACACTTGGCCTTAAAGCTTCAAAAATATGGACAAAATTCTAACTGAAAGCCATTTTCCCAGGTATTCTCCTTGACCAGCAGCCATGCTTGTATGCTCCAGTTTGTATATCTTAGTGTTGTCCCAGGTTTACCGTAGGGCCATCTAGTTTCAGAGATGGATATTCTCTCTAGGACACAGCTGAACAGGCTTAGATGGATACTAGTCCTTCCAGAGATAATGGCTTTCACACTGCTGCATCTAAAGCCAAGGAGCTAAGTGTAAGATTTCTTTCATCCGTATCTATAATGCTTTTCAATTTAAGCTTTTTTTCCCTCACTTCTTTTTTTGCCAAAAGCCACCTGCCCCTCTCACAGGCTGTGACCTGGCTGCCACTCACCGCAGTTGTCTTCATCAGCCTGGTTCCCACAGTCATCCACACCATTGCAGTGAAGCAGCTGGGGCAAGCATTTGGTGATGTTCCCGCAGGGAAAGGAGCCCAGGGGGCACCGGATACCTTGCTCACTTGCTTGGGTGACTAGGGGTAAAGAAAAGAGAGGTGACATTGGAAGAAGGTTAATACCAAGATTGTTAAGAGAAAAATGATTGTCCCTGGCATTTTCTAAACATTTGGGTTTCTTAGCTGCTTTGTGTAGCCTTCCCCACAGCAGCCTTCCCTGGCTCAGATCCCGACACCAGTGGATTCCAAGAGCCTTTTCCTTAATATGATGCTGGTTTTGGCCTCTCTTTCCCGTTGGACATGATGTTGTCTTTGGAAACATCTGTCGATCCATCTGTCTGTCTGTCTTTCTTTTGGTAGTAATAATGAACTCAGCTTTGTGCTTGTTAGGAAGGTGCTTCAACACTTGAACCAGCCCAGTTCTTTTGGTCTCTAGTTCCTTTTGCTTTTTATTTTTTAAAGAGAATCTTGTCTTTTGGCCAGATTGTCTGGATTTCAACCTTCCTATTCATGTCTTTCTTATAGCAGTTACTTGGGATGGCTGGTTTATACCACAATGCCTAACTTTTTATTCAAGGTTGAGTTTTTCAAACTTCCAATCATTCTCTCCAGAATAAGTGGGATTACAGATGTGAACTACTTATGCCTGACTACAATCCCTCTCTTTTAAATAAAATGTGCTTACTACCTTGAGTTTTGGTTTTCTCAGAATGTTACCAAGTTGCGTCATATAGCATGTGATCATTTTGACTGGCTTCTCTTAACAATACATATCTGTTCTCTCACCTAGTGAACGACATCTTGGTTGCTTCCAAGTTTTGGCAAATCTGAATAAAGTTGCTCTAAATATCAGTGTGTGGATTTTTGTGTTGATATAAGTTAATCATATCATTTCCAAATGTCAGATTTATATAATTTCAAAGGTTATTGTACATTCCAAGTACAATTACATAGTTTTTTTTTTTTTACCAAGTTTGGATAATTTTAGAATTTTCTAAAATGCTTACAATTATGAACAATAAAAATAGAATTGTGATTGCCATCTGCAATCAGCACTTGTGAGGCTGAGGTCTGGATAGCTTTGAACTGCAATCCTCAGACCTTAGCTTTCTGACTAGATAGTTTTACAGGCAGCCATGGGATCCCAGAGCTCATTGGTAATTAGCAAAAATTTTGGAGATCACTAATTTGAAAACATATAATCCCTTTCCTTATCAAAAGTTTAATTTATGCATCTATTTATTTCTCTCAGAGGCATTGGTTATTTCCTATTTTACTCAATGCCTATAACTACTATTTTTAATATTTATTTTTTGATGCTCCAATTGTGTCAGATTTTACCAATAGAAACCACTACAGCTTGGCTCTGGTGTCTTTTGACATCTACCCACTGGTCTTTGAGTATGACCTTGCTTTCTGGCACTAAAAGACATTTCAGCATCATTTGTTTCTTTCCCCAACCCAGGACAGCCTAGCTCATCTCAGATCTCTGCTTTCTCTGAGGGTAAGATGCTACTCTCAGGCTCATTTACCTGTGAGTTCCAGGTAAATAACACAAGATTCTGTTTTAAAACAACAAAACTAAACCAAACACCCCCCCCTTCCACTCAAGTCAATGATAAAACAAAAAATAAGAAAACAAAACAAAAACAATGAAAAAAACCTCACAATACTTTGGATAGTCATTAAAGCTCATTATATCAAAATGTGTTTGTGACCTGTCAAAAATGAGAATAAAATCGACTGTTTGCTTTGTATGATACAATAGAAACTTCAATTAAAAGGAAAGTTATATTTTCACAGAGGAGCAATTATCTTTGATTTATCATAGTCATTTCAGAGTATATATTTTTCTTTTCTAAATCATCTTTAAGAAGTTATACAAATGGTTTTCAATTCAACATAACAATTTATGACTACAATGGTACATCTTGATCTATGAGTACTTTCTTTTCTTTGTCTTTTTTTTCTGGAAGGGGGAAGGAGTTGCTGGGAGCAAACCAGAGCTTTGTGCATTGTAAGGCAAGTACTTCACCCCTAAATTTCAACCCAGTCTCAATATTGGATAAAGGAAACTGTGCAGCCTACAGGATGAGCTGGATTGTAAATAGTATTTTCACTTGTAGGAGTATTTTAAGATGTATTTTCCCCAACCAATTGATTAAAACAAAGTTCAAATCAAAGATTGCAGGCCATCAAATATCACACATTCTAGAGATCTCAAGTATACATAGAAATAAAATGTGATTTCTTTTTTCTTTTGTGTTTTTCCCCCCTCTGGTTTATCCTCTATTTTCACTATATTCAATTTTGGTACCCTGGGTATGTATATACATTTATATGTTTATCTGAATTAGGGAAAGGAAGGGAACAAGAAAATGATGACAAAAGACAAAGGGTGAACCAATGAATGCAATAGTGATACTCACAAGACAATATATTGGAAATGAACTGTAGAACTTGGGGCTGGGGGGTGGGTTGGGAGGGAAAGTGGGAGAATAATGAGGAAAGGTGTAACAAGTTCAACAGGAAATGTACTCACTACCTTACATATGTAACTGTAACTCTTCTGTACATCACCTTGACAATAAAATTAAAATTTAAAAACATTAAAAAAGAGAAACAAAAAAAACCATGTTGAGACAGAGTGTGTGTATCTTTATTAATCTTTAAAGAATGAACTTTAAAAATCAATGTTGTCAGGAAGTTTTTGGGACCAATTGTCAGTCCCCAGAGACAGATAATGTTGAAAAAGTTTTAAGCCAGGTGCATGTGGCTAACTCTTGTAATCCTAACTACTCATGAGGTTTCGATCTGAGGATCATGGTTCAAAGCCAGCCAGGGCAGGAAAGTCTGTGTGACTCTTATCTCCAATAAATGACTCAAAAAAGCCAGAAGTGGTGCTGTGACTCATGTGGTAGAGTGCTTACCTTGAGTTAAAGAAGCTCAGAGATAGTGAGTGCCCAGGCCCAGAATTTAAAAAATACCCCCCCCAATTTTTTTTGACTAGACACACCTAGATTTATATTCATGCTACTGTTTTGAAAATTCTTTTCAAAGTAGTTAACTTTTATGAATCTTATATTTTTATGACCTGTGTTTTTATGACCCTAGAGATGCTTGGCATGAACTCTATTCTCAGCTGGTATCCTATTTTTAACCTTGTGTTAGTGACAGATACAGCTTTTAAATGGCTGTGTCATAAGATTAGTCCCATGTTTTCATGACATGATGATCCAACAGGTATATTAGAAATCTTAATATTTTAAGTAACATTAAAATTTAATTTACAATGTTTGAGATGATCTCTTTGTAAAGAGAATCTGCACAAAGGCCATCTTGTCTCCTACACAGTGTGACAGTAAGCTGTTGACTGACGTTCTGTCACCCCTAAGTGCTTTGTATGGCATTCTCCTACAGCCATGTGACAACCATTAATATCAGGAGATTAGCAGTGATTTTGTTTTTAGTCCATTCAAGTTGGCAGATTGTCCCCGAAATGTCCTTTACAGTGAAAGCAGCTAGTGTGGGGTCAACCTTTGTAATTAATTGTTTCATGACTTTAGTCTCATCTGGAGCCACTTCTCAGAATGTCATTTTTTTCATAACCTTGACACTGGGAGATTGCAGGTCAATGACTGCAGAATGTTCTGGACTTTGGGTTATCTGGACTTTAGTGTTCACTAAGTTCAGGCGATGTCCCTCTGGCAGGAACTTCACAGAGTAAGACTCATTTTAGTTTATCGGGTGGTTTGTTCCATTAGTGACAATAACCATTGCAGTCACTTGACTGAAATGTCCCCCAAACTTCTCAATTATTGATAATTAATTTTTGTTTTCTGGGTGCTAGTACTGGAGCTTGAACTCAGGGCTTTGTGCTCCCACTTTGCTTTTTCACTCCAAGTTGGTACACTGCCATTTGAGCCACACCTCTACTTTTGGCTTTTTGCTGGTTAATTGGAGATAAATGAATCACAGAATTTTTTTTGGGGGGGGGTCTGCATAGCTTTGAACTGAAATCCTCAGACCTTAGCTTTCTGACTAGATAGTTTTACAGGCAGTCATGGGATCCCAGAGCTCATTGGTAATTAGCAAAAATTTTGGAGATCACTAATTTGAAACTATATAATCTCTTTCTTTATCAAATGTTCAATTTATGCACCTATTTATGTCTCTCAGAGGCATTGGTTATTTCCTATTTTACTCAATGCCCTATAACTACTATTTTTAATATTTATTTTCTGATGCTCCAATTGTGTCAGATTTTACCAATAGAAACCACTACAGCTTGGCTCTGGTGTCTTTTTGAAATCTACCCACTGGTCTTTGAGTATGACCTTGCTTTCTGGCACTAAAAGACATTTCAGCATCATTTGTTTCTTTCCCCAACCCCAGGACAGCTTAGCTCTTCTCAGATCTCTGCTTTCTCTGAGAGTAAGATGCTAGGAAAAAGCTAAGATGTGGAATTCAGCTGTGCTCATTAATAGAAGGGTATCACTGCCAGCAGTGGACAGGTTCAGTGGACAGCATGGGAATGAAGATTACATTTATTTGCACTTGCACACACCTATCTATTTTCAGTATCTACCTAGATCTGAGAGCCATGAATTTACCTTCATTTCCTAAGCAACACTGTAAGGTTCTATTTCTTTTTTTGTTTTTGGACAGTGAGGAACATGCTGTTTGTTATCCTTTATCCTGCATGTATGCTCTTTTTCTTTTTCTTTTTTTTTTTTTTTGTCGGTCGTGGGGCCTGAACTCTGGGCCTAGGCTCTGTCCCTCAGCTCTTCAGCTCAAGGCTAGTGCTCTACCACTTGAGCCACTTCCAGCTTTTTCTGCTTATGTGGTGCTGAGGAATCAAACCCAGGGCCTCATGCATGCAAAGCACCACTGAGCCACTTTCCCAGCCCCTGAATGCATGCTCTTATCACCCTACTCAGTGCTGCCTTCCACAGTGAGAGCTTTCTTGCTGGATCATTTTTTTCACAGTGAATCTCTGCAATTCCCTCCTAGGTCACTTGGTTCCCCTTATGCCCTTCTTGTGAGTCACTTGATGGCTTTAGAACTCGATT